TCCTCCCTACAACTCTTGGAGGCTCTGTTCTGTTTTATTTTTTTCACTTTTCCCCCATTTGGACTCTTGTGGTTTTCATTTCTTTGCTGAGATTTCGCATCTGTTCTTGAATGCCGTCCAGTTTTCCTATGAGAACGTTTATCTATTAATTGTTAACCTACCAATAAAAGGCCAATGTGAGAGGCAACAACCATTTGAGACCTAAAACAATAGCACTGGTTCAGGTAGAGAGGATTGGGAGGTGAAGGCAGAGAGAGGGAGGGAAGGGGAATGATGACATGAAAAGGAGGGAGTTTTTGTGGGTGTGAATAAGCTAAGGAAGGCATTTCCATCGGTGTAGATAAGCTAACAATAGAAATGTAAAGAATGTCTTTAAATTTCAGGCCTCCAACCCAAAGGTTATTTTAGCCAGTCTTAACGTTCCAGAAGTTTGAAAAGTAAGATATGCAAGGCAGTTCCTCTGGGATGGGAGTTCCTCCTCCACGTCAGAGCGACTTGGCTTGTATTATTTTTCACATCGTCATAGTTATTTTCATTTCCCTGCCGGTGATTTCAATAGCTGGGTCATCTCTAAGTCTTATCCTATTGACTACTTTGCCTCTTGAGAGTGGGTTGCTCCTCTTGTTTTAGTCTGTGTGTTGCTTGTAGTTTGTTATCGATTGCCAGGTGTGGGTACATGGCATTGATTCTGGGACGCGAGCACCCCTCTTCTTTGACCAGGCTGTTGGTGGAGAAGTTTGAGTTGGTTGGGAGGGGAGTTGTGCTTGGGTTTTGTTGTTGCTGTGGTTTCCTTTTGCGCTTCAAAGGCTTGGGGTCAGGTTTGCTGGAGGGAGGGTGTTTCCTGTGTTTTTGCGCTTTAAGCCTGTCTGCACCTGTGCCCGAGGCTCAGCGGACCACAGTGGTCTAGTTGCTGGGTACTTGCTACAATTGTTTTGGTTCAGCCTCGCCTTAGGCAGGCCCTGTTTCCCTGGCTCTGGGCGTGGATGGATCTTTCTGGGTGACCCCACTCCTCCCCCAGAAGTAGGACACCTCTAATGCTCTCTCTACCTCTGGATCCAAATTTTCTTCCTCAGCTATTTTGGCGGTGGTGACAGTTTGCTGCCTTTTCCCCAGGTGTTTCATATTTTGATCTTTATATGATTTTTTTTTTTTTGTGGCTGCCTCCTATATGCCCCTACTGGGGAGCTTGTGCCCTGACCGGGAATTGAACCGGTGACCTCTTGGTTCATGGGTTGATGCTCAACCACTGAGCCACACCGGCTGGGCAAGATTTTTCTTCTTTAGAGAAGGGACCAGGTGGACCTTTGTATTTTTCACAGAGTAGTGACTGCTTTCTTCAGACTAGGACTGCTGCAAGGCTTTCTCTGGTCTCCTCTCTAGTATTTCTTGTGAGCCTCCATCAAGGTGTGCGGAGAAAAACCTCTGAGCTATATAACCTTCCTATATAATAAAAGCGTAGTATGCAAACTGTCCCCTCGACCGAGAGTTCATCCAGGAGTTTGACCAGGGGGGCAGGGCTGGCTGGGGGAAGGGAGGGAGGCCCAGCCGGCAGCCCGCAGCCACGAGGGACCCTACCCTCCTGGTAATCTAGTAAGTTTTCCTGCACTCTGTGAGCTACTCTAGCAAATTAATTAAACTCAAGGAGCGGGTAGTAGGAACCCCCAACTTACAGCCAGTCAGTGGAAAAGCACTGGTAACCACCTGGACATCTGAAGTGCTAGTAGGGGCAGGTGTGTGGGACTGAGCCCTTAACCTGTGGAATCTGATACTATCTTTGGGTAGGTAGCGTCAGAATTGAGTGAAAGTGTAGGACCCCAGTCGGTGTTGCGGAATTGCTTGATGTGTGGAAAACCCACACACAGACGTCCAAATAGAGTGCCCAGCTGGGGCTGACGGGACAGGAGGCGGCTGGAGTGGTCACTGGAGCCAGTTCTCCTGCTTCCGTGTCCAGTTGGGTGAAAAAGCAGCCCAGGTCTCTCTGCACCCGACTCGTGAGAATATAGGCTCCTCGGCTGTTTCCTGGTTTTGTTGGCATGCCTGGACTCACCTGACATTCACCTGAAAACAAATAAGTTTCCAATTGCCTGCACAGGGAAATCTGCAGGCGTGGTGCCAGGAGTCAGAGTGGTGCCTCCTCTAAGCAGAGGTAGACTGGCTCACCTGCTCTGGGAGTGGGGGAGGGTTTACTAATGCCCCAGAGGAGCTTGTTATTTTTTATTTTAAAAAAAAAAAATTTTTTTTAAAATATATTTTATTGATTTTTTACAGAGATGAAGGGAAAGGGATAGAGAGTCAGAAACATCAATGGGAGAGAAACATTGATCAGCTGCTTCCTGCACACCTCCTACTGGGGATGTACCCGCACCCAAGGTAC